CCCCCCCGCCCCCAGGAGCGCGGGCCGCGCCCCGACCCTGGGTCTCACACGGGCAGGCACGGACACAGACACAGACGCGTGGGAGTCCACGCACACACAAGACATGGGCGGGCGGACAGGGACACAAGGACGCGCACGCACAGGCATCTAAACATTTGGACACACACGGACGCAAGGAGACACGCATAGCCACAGTGATACAGACATGCGGAGACAAACACAGAAACACACAACAGCTAACAGACCGTGGAACCCAAAGAAAAAGAGCAGTGTTGCTTTCTGAGAATGCTGAACGCATATGCAGAAAGAGAGCTTTTTTTTTTTCCCCCCATCTACTCGCAGATCACTCACCAATTGCCATCACGGGCAAAACAGACTCGACTTGGGGAAATTAGTTTAATTCATTACCAATCAAATCAGAGTAGGATTGAGGATAATGAGAAATAAAAACCAAATCTTAAAAACCCCTTCCCCCTACCCCTCCCTTCTTCCCGGGCTCAGCTTCACTCCCGATTTCTCTGCCTCCTCCCCCCCAGTGGCGCAGGGGGACTGGGAATGGGGGTTGCTGTCAGTTCATCACACGTTGTCTCTGCCGCTCCTTCGTCCTCAGGGGGAGGGCTCCTCACACTCTTCCCTTGCTCCAGCGTGGGGTCCCTCCCACGAGAGACAGTCCTCCACAAACTGCTCCAACGTGAGTCCTTCCCACGGGCTGCCGCTCTTCACGAACTGCTCCAGCGTGGGTCCCTTCCATGGGGTGCAGTCCTTCAGGAACAGACTGCTCCAGCGTGGGTTCCTTGTGGGGTCACAAGTCCTGCCAGCAAACTTGCTCCAGTGTGGGCCCCTCTCTCCATGGGTCCACAGGTCCTGCCAGGAGCCTGCTCCAGTGTGGGCTTCCCACGGGGTCACAGCCTCCTTCAGGCATCCATCTGCTCTGGCATGGGGTCGTCCACAGACTGCAGGGGGATCTCTGCTCCACCGTTAACCTCCATGGGCTGCAGGGGGACAGCCTGCCTCACCATGGTCTTCTCCATGGGCTGCAAGGGAATCTCTGCTCCGGCGCCTGGAGCACCTCCTGCCCCTCCTTCTTCCCTGGCCTTCTGGTCTGCAGAGCCTCTCACATATTCTCACTTCTCTCTCTTGAGCGGCGCTTGTGTTGTGCATTTTTTTTCTTCTTAAATATGTTATCACAGAGGCGCGACCCCTGTCGCTGATGGGCTCAGCCTTGGCCAGCAGCGAGTCCATCTTGGAGCTGGCTGGCATTGGCTCTGTTGGACATAGGGGAAACTTCCAGCAGCTTCTCACAGAAGCCACCCCTGTAGCCCCACCACCACCACCAAAACCTTGCCACACAAACCCAACAGAGCTATTGACATCAAGTGCTGCTAGCATTCTGTTACAAGTCATTGTGTGTGCATGCAGCACTTCCTTGTGGTACATGCTGTCTAACAGCATATGAGACATTACTACTTTGTGATTTAATGACCCACAAAATTCTCCTCTCCAAGGACTGGGATCCCACTGTGTTACCCATTCACCCAATTTTGATTCCATTTTATCTGGCATTCTGTTCCTTAAGGACACTGGAAGAGAGAAGGCTTACAAATTTTTAACACTCTATTGATAACGAAGTTCACAAAATCAACCTTATGTATCTCCAAAAGGCCAGTTCAGTCTTCCAGCACTCCTGCGCAAAAATAACCTGTGTTCATCCTGCTGCCCACTTTCTCCACTAATCAGTTGAACACAGAGTTGATACATGTGTATACATCAGTTCCACATTTTTTTTTTTTAAACTGTAGCATACTGGCAATGGACAGACAGTTTGTTGCCAATGATCATTCCCCAGTCTTCTTTCAAAGTTCTTTTTTTTTACAAGATTTTTTCTTTTTGTTGTACAGAATTGTTTGTATTTCAACTTACTGTGCTCAAGATCACTCATTCTCATTTTGTAATTTTCTGTTTGTGCTTTGTGGTCTCTGTTTACAAACAACAACCATGGCAACAGCAATGACAGCTAATAAGTAATGAATAATTTTATACTTCATAATACATGGTCTGAGGCATTTCTTTCAATTTGTCTTGATCCCATTATAATGTAAAATCTGTACTGTTTCATTCATTTAGTTTTCCTGTACATTTGGTACATAGTTTGTCCTTGCTTTTTGAAACCACCATGATTTTCCAGTAGTTTATGAATTAAAGACCTTAGAAAACCAGACCAAATTACCTGCAAAAATTCTTTCACTATCAGAAAGAGTTGCACAATACAGAATTGACTTCACAAACCCTTTGGGATGTAGGAAAAAGCAAATGGTGATTTTTTTTTTTGGTAAAAGGATTCAGAAATCACTTTTTAATGAAGATAATGAAACACAATGTAATACAGCTAGATATTAAAAAAGAAACACTATGCATGTTGCAGTTATTCAAGGAAAACATTGCAAGTTTTGCAAAACATTTCCAGTGCAGGTAACAGATTGTTTTGTTTTGTTTTGTTTTGTTTTGTTTTGTTTTGAAGAGGGGCTCTAATTGGATAGTTGAATAAAGATGGATTTTAAACAATTCATTATAAGTTAACCTGGAAGGAATGGTTTCATTTTCTGAGTACTCGCCCTCCCTCGCCCTCAATTGTATCCTTTTAAATTTAGGTCAGAACTGAAACAAAAATGCCACTTTGAGTCTGTATTCAGAGACTTGCCAAAGTGTAAGAATGCAATGTTTAAATATCTTCAATATCTCTCCTTCCCTACTAAAAAACCCCAACAATCTGCAAATCCCACCTGACTTGCCAGTAGTCCATCTGACTGTGCATCAACTTTCACATCTAAGTCAGCCTTACACAGCCCCAGAGAAAGCAAATGTTTCTCTGATAATGGCTAGCATAGTAGGCTAGGATTCTTTTCATTTTACCAGCTTTCAAGTAAAAGTGCAGAGAAATCATGAACGCTTTTGATTTTGTCAGAACTCTGCTTCTGCTGGCAGAGATGTGACTGTTAGGAGAAACTAATGCCCGTAACTTTGAGACTGATGCTTTCAGAAGCATTATCCTTTGCTCATGATAGACAGTAGGCTGAGCCTGCCATGATGTAATCCCAGGAAGTTGGTTACCATTTCCCATACAATTCAACACTCATTGTATTGAAAGCAGAAATCAAATGATAGCATACTATATAAAAACATTGTTTGTGTTTGGAAAGTCTATTTTTGTTGCTGTGGACAATTTAATCCTCTGCTATGCTTTTTCTGTATTTCATTAAAAACTCCTCTGGAATCTCATTGTTTCTTGTTCAGATACAACTGGAACCTCTGAAGCAAGTTTCTGTTTGCCTTTGTATCTTTGGAAGAAAAGACAAAGAAAAAGTTTAAAAAATAAAAAAAGGCTAGAGATGACTGTTAAAGTAGTTACCATAATGTCAGTGCTTAGATCAAGGTAAGAAGAATATTGGGTTAGGTGGAATAGTAACATTGCACCGATTTTTAAGGTACCAATTCTGTGTAATGCCAGTGCATACCTCCCCCAAGGAACAATATCCCTGCCCAGTCATACACTTCTGATTCAAAATATTTAAATTACCAAAAGTAGTGACTGAAGGATATGTAGCACTCCTTCTATTTGAGCAACATTGATGAAATTAGAGAATACTGAAGGTTTGCTGTTATCCCTGTGCAACAATCAATTTCTTTTTTCTAGTATGATGGTCTAAATTATAGGAGCAAGAGGAGAAACTGGGCAAATGTCACTGGTTTGAAAGCACTGATAATGAAGGGTCTGGCAAGAAGGTTGGGTTTTGAGTACAAAAAAGACAGAGGAAAAAAGTCTGAGTGAGCAGGAAACTTGGTATTCAGTGGCAAATTCTGGACCTTACACTGGCTTTTGTTTTTGCTAAGAGAAACATATCACCAAAATATTAATAGATACATTTACAACTACCTAGCAACCCTCACAACTAACTGAGAGGGAAAAACATAAACCAATTTACTGAGCACCTTGGTATTTTGATTTCCTGCAATTTTTATTCTGAATACTGTGATTCTGCCCCCAGCCCTCCCCCAATCTCTGCTCATAGAATCATGTGATTATCTGAGAAACTTAACTTCCACTTTTAGGACAGAAAGGTGGCTGAGGAAAGCTTGAAAATATAGCTCCTACTTGTTTTTCTGTTTGTTTGTTAAAGGAGAAAGAAATCTAAAAGCACATAGCATTCAATGATTAGGATTTTTGTATATTTCTATTGGCCTTGATGCTTTTTAAGATACCTCACTCTATCTTAATATGTAAGTATGGTCCTAGCTGTGAACACCAAGAGCAGCTCCTTTTCTGGATGATTGTCAGAGTTGGGTGCAGAGGCAGAAGTTTTCAAAAACCTACAGTATGTAGGACTACTTCTTTCTCTTCTTATATAAAAACATATGACTTGTCATAGAGTTATATTTACCCTGATATCCAGAAGAGTATACAGTAGATGACAGACTTTCATGATTCAATAATTGTCTAATAAGCCTTCCCTAGTTAAAATTTATCCGTTCAAAATTTGTTACTGCTATACAAAGGACTGCATCCTCTAGTGCTATCCAAATATACAGCCCTGCTGAGTGCTATGGACTATATTAAACTCCCTCAAAATTTTTTCATAAATGATAAACTTTTGGTAGCATATGAAAATTACCTAGACATTTGCAAAATATACAAGAATTTAGAAGGGTTGATGGCTTCATTCTATTTTTTTAAATTAGTTTTTGATGTACAATGATGAGTTTAGAGTAGCAGTTCTGTAAGCAAACTGCTCCCAAACGTGAGAAGTCTCTCCATCATTTATCAGCAGTCCTGGTCAACTGGGGAGGTCCCAGATGACTGGAAGCTAGCTAATGTGATGCCCCTCTGCAAGAAGGGTCGGAAGGAGGATCCGGGGAACTACAGGCCTGTCAGCCTGACCTCGGTGCCAGGAAAGGTCATGGAGCAGATCACCTTGAGTGCCGTTACGCGGCAGATGCGGGACAACCGGGGGATCAGGCTCAGCCAGCATGGGTTTATGAATGGGAGATCCTGCTTCACTAACCTGGTCTCCTTCTATGAAAAGGTGACCCGCTTAGTGGATGAGGGGAAGGCTGTGGATGTTGTCTGCTTGGACTTTAGTAAGGCCTTTGACACAGTCTCCCACAGCATTCTCCTGGAGAAGCTGGCTGCTCACAGCTTGGATAACTGCACTTTGCGCTGGGTTAACAACTGGCTGGACGGCCGAGCCCAGAGAGTGGTGGGGGATGGGGGCAAATTCAGT